CTTTGTGCCGTTTGAGAAATGCTCCCTAAGCAACGGGGTTTGACGGTAACTCTTGTTAATGCCTGCTTTTTCTAATTTTCAGCTCTGTGATTAAAGCCAGATGGTAATCCACAAAAGAGATGGAATTTGAGAACAACCTGTAGTGCAAGGTATTTTTTTCCCACTGGACTGGAAAGAGAACAAAATCCCTAAAGCCAGTTAATATGCCGATGCACAGCCAGCTCAATTATTCCCTTATCTGTGCTAACAGTGCGAACCATGACAAATAAGAAATTACAGTACAGTATACAGTATGTCCTGTCTAGATTTCTTTCATCATCCCAGATTTGGAAGCACATCCACTTGATTATGCACGTATCAGCTCTGTGGATGCTGTACGTGCTCAACCCCCCCACACACACACAAATTTGTAATCATATTATTGTTTAAGCAGGAGTGTATGCATTTTTGCACAGTATATGTACATATTACCATGGAATTGCGCATTCACAATGCTGCAACAGTTATGAAATGCAGACTCTTAAGCCAACTTATCAAAATATTAGTTATGATTCAGTTGATTTATCAGTGAATCAGGTGCAACTGCAGACCTAAGAGGAACTACATGAAAATGTAAGAAACTGAAACATTTGCAATTAGGAAAACTGGCCCTAGAAAAAACAAACAAACCCCCTGTAAGCTGTGTTTAAATTTGACTTCTGGTAGTTGTGGAAAAGGATCTACCAATGAGCTTAATGATGTTGAGGAGGCAGGCACCAGCACTGGAGCAAAAAGTAAGCAAGACAGGACATCAGCATTCTCCTAACTCATATTTAACGATGAGAAAGGACAGGCTTTGTTGAAAAATTAAGATGCAACATGCAGGGACTTGAATTTTCTACAGAGACAACAAAAAAGGGTTAAAGACCATGCAGAAATATACTTTTTGAGATTTTAAAAAGTCTGCATGATGGTATTTTCATCTTAAGTAGACTATAGGTTGCAAAAAAGGAACTGACAGTTACCAGCGATGAACACAAGGGAAATTGTTTAAGATTTAACAGATGTTTTTTCCAGTCATAGAGTTTCCTGTGATCCATGATACTGAAGTACACCTGTTGCTTGTCACATCATTCAGCACTTTTGCACAGGATCCATGTGGCCCATTCTGTGGGTGAGTGTGACCTACAGTATGCTTCCACATGACAGTTTATTACCTATGTGCCAATGTTAGTCAAAGGATGCCACTGCACTAAAGGATGAGATGTTTTCCCAATAGGGACAGCTGTCTGGCCTTGAGAACCTGCAAATCTCCAGTTTTCCCTTCCCTGCAGCTCAACAAATACAGTATCTTCTAACTGTTCCTACAAGTCAACAAAAGAGTTTGAAAAATAATAAGACAAGTTCTGATGAGCAAGCCACAAGATGGTAAAGTATTCAGAAAATAACAAATCTTCCTGCGGACTAATGAACTGATTCACCTTGGATTAACAAACCAAAGTTTGCAGTCTTGTCATACTTATCTCAATACCTTATGCGGAAGCATTAATACCCACTATGAGGGAAGTTGTCGGTCATCATAATCCAATATCATATCAACTTGAACACACTATTAGACCATTAATTCATTAAATATCCCTATTTGCCCTTCACGTTCCTGCTGTAGGTGTGGGGACATCAAGGTATGTACAGTATATACATTTCTTATATTCAGTATAAAAACAGTCTTGGAGCTGTTAGTATAATAAAATCCACTCATCCAAAGTGAACTCATTCACAGCTCTGGTGGTTTGTAATCCAGCGTGTTCTCTGCTGGAGAGGAAGCTTAGACAACTAACCACATCACACGCTCAGAATGAGACGCAAAGTTTCATCTCACCCACGAAGAGCTAAGCAGAAATGGTGGGATTCTGAGGTGTCAGAAGCATATTGCACAATGGAAAGATGGTCACAAGGTACTAGGTTTCAAATTTGCAATTTGGGAATCAAAGTTTTCCTTTAAACTGGCCCTAATCTGATTTGTCTGATTTGAACCCAGATTTCCTGTAGCAGTCTGGAAAATAAAAAAGTCATTCTACATCTCATATAATAACTGGTAAAAACCAGCTGGAGTACGGTGCATGAAAACTACATCCTACATAGGCAGTTAATCAGGCGTGGGACATTCTACCCACATATTTAGGTTTGTGGAATACTTTTAGGCAGTCAACACTTGCAAGCAGTCTTACTATATTTAACCCAAGCCACTAATGACTGCCACAGGTCATCAGATCACAGTCTGGAAATTGCAGAGAAACTAATCTTTCACATGGGACACACAAACAACAGGTTTTGAAAGCAGTTTAATTATATGTATGAATTAACAGTTCCTCAATCCTTTTCATTTACTTTATTGTTTAATCTACCCGACACGATTTGGTAGTTGTATTTAAGCAGAGAGAACACTTTCTCTGCTCCATTTCCAAGGTAGAAAATAAAAAGGATGAATCAGACATGACAATGCTATTTTCAAGTAAACCAAAATAAAAATAAAACATTTTGGAAGTGAATGGGGGCTTTATTTAGTGAGATTATATGGATTTATTAAATCAATGAGAGGTGATTGATTTCAATTTTTCAATGCCATCTTTAAAAATAACAAAAGAGAAAAGGGATTTGAGACAGTCAGTCACAGTCAGGTTGTTCATGGAAAATATTTCACTAGACTCAGAAGAAATAAACTTCCATTTGATTATATCAGACTGTGTGCAACAAAAAGACTGCTTTAGAGCAGGATAAATATCTATACTCCCTTCCCGTAAGTAGTGCCAGGCAATATCACTTTTCATAGTCTGCAAAGCCAGTTTTGTAACTTGTGTGCACCCAACAATGGAAAAGATGAAAGAACATCCAGCACTTGTTTCACATTTTTGCTGATAATCTTTAGCCTTTGTCATAGCAGAAGAGGAAAAATATGCTAACAATATGTATAAATGACACTTTTCCTCACGATGAAGTGATGGAAATAAAAGGATATCATTCTGAAACCTCTCACAGGAAAAGATGTTTGCCAAAGTTCACAACAAAGAGAATTTCAGAAAGAACTATCGGAGTTTGGATACTTTGAAGATCTACTATACATATTTCTTATGAAGAACACGTGAAATGTGTAAATTATGTACTTGGGGGAAAAAGTTCAAGCTGTTTACATTTCTGTGTTGTCATCATGCTCAATGATACATATACACAGACTGTAAATACTAACAGGATGTTTATTTTACTGCACTGTGTCCACACATTATTATATTACATGCCTTGCTCATCAAGTCTGTGCTAACCTTAATGTTATTTTTAAATTCACAGTTGTTCCTTAAAACTATACAAGTGTTTTAATGTTAACTATATAATAAAACACATTTTATTTATTGTGAGTTACCCTGGGTAAGAGATCAAATTAACAAAACAAATGAACTCGAGTTTCTTCTGATTTTATGCCCACAGGCTTCTGTGAATTTGAGTGGCATGGCAATTTATGTGAGATTTATCAATGATTTCCGAACTTGGGAACTTGAGTGTTGAAAGAAGACACCACAGCCAAAACATGTTTTTCTCATGTTTTTCGTGTTGACACCTGATGAATGCTCCACAGCGAAAACATTGTTTCTTTTCTTCTTTTTTCAGCATGGAATAAACCTTTACATGTTTCTCTGCTGCCTACGCATGCTGAAGCATCTACCTACTTGAACTACTACAGCCTACTTCTGCTGCGACCCACTATGCCTTCCGCTAAAACTTTTTCTAGATCTCTTCGTCATTCCTTCTCCTCCTCCCTGGGCCACTTGTCCCTCTTCTTGAACTAAACCAGCATCCTGTCTCTTCACAGTGATCTGTTCCAAGACCTGGAACCCAAAAAAGGCTCAACAGCCAAAACGTTGTTTCTTTTCTTAAGATATGTATTGCTTGAACACTCATTCAGAAAAGGGACTAAAATGACAATGTCAATTGACCCCTAAGAAATATCTTCAAGTCTTCCATTCCTTGTTTGTTAACTATGTTCTGCAGTTCCACATAAACGAAGATGGGAGGGAGCAAGAAACTCTTCTTTGAGCTCTGCAAGAGGTCCAAGTGACATCTTGAGAGAGAAAGTTGCATATTATAGACACCTTTAAAAAATGTGGTTTAGATTGTGGAAAAAGTACACATTCTGTTAGAGAAAACGGGATACACATGCAACTGGAACATATAATAAGCAAATAAGAGCCTCCATTGTCAACTGCATGGACTGCTGATGAAGTCCTTTTTGACATGCAACCGGTATCGCAGGCAATGTATGGTCTTCTGCTCTACCACACTACTGAGACATCCCTAGTGATTAACCGGCTTCTAAACCATTGTGTTCCTGGAGGGATCACTCGCATAAGACAACAAGCTGAATCTGAATGATTTTTACCACTTTCCAGACCTGGAAACAGGACTATGTGATTGTGTACAGCATGTGTTCAGCAATGTAGAGCAATCCTTACAACAAATGCAACCTTTTTTAAAGTACTGCATGTACTGTACACCAAATGCACATAATAAAGCAGCTGCTAACTCACTTACTTCCTTTAATTGTCCCAGATGGGAAATTTGCTTTGCAGGTAGGTAAAAGATATAAACATACTGTGGATTGTGTTAACACAACATGAACCCATCAACAAATAAGAAACATGTGTACTGTATTATGAGAAAGAAAATATATAAAAGTAAAATATAAAATAAATTGTCAGAATTAAGCAGGGTAATAGCTGTGGGAATAAAGGAAGGATAACTTAGTTCTCTTGCACTCAAATATTTTCTAAATCTAAGGCTAGAGAGAAGGAGGTAAATTTAACTCTTGGGTGGTCAATGATTATATTGAACTTTCTCATTAACTACAGTTAATTTACAAGCAACTATGTCTCAGGATGTTTCTCCAGCTTCTTCTCTTGTCCCTATTGGTGGGACTAATGATCACCCATATAAAAGCCCCCCGTGGAGAGCTGACACATGAAGACACTGACCTGAAAGTCTTCCAGAGGGAACTGCAGCATGTCCCGTAGGGCATCACTGAGGATTTGGGTCTTCCTCTGCACCAAGACAGTCTCATAGTCTATAGGCTCGATCACTTTTGGCTTTGCCTGAAAATACATGATAAAAAAAGAATTAAAAACCGAAGAGTAGATTACCAAGTCATTTCAACAATTTAGAAAGAAATATAATCTACCCCAATCTCACCTTTTCTCCCCATTTATAATGTGTCTTTACAAATAAGACACTTTATATTTACCCAGTTAACTGTTTCTGCTTCCCCAAACTGACACCATCTCATCTTGAAATCTTACCCGATGACAAAGAATTTACTGTTTTTATTCAGTATGTTGTTCACCCTTGTCTGTAGTTGAAACTTTGTGGGAACAAGACCTGGACAAACATATTCAAAAGGGCCAGTGGGTGTCCAATTTAGAATGAACCCAGGATTGCTCCATCTGTGCCAATCAGGGACTCATACAGATTGAAATGAGACATTGCTTACATACAGTGTGTCTAATCAGAGCTCAATACAATAGAATCAATACAAACTGATGCCCTATCCTCCTTAATTGGAAGCAAGATGCTCCACCCACATTTTTCCAGTGGATCAGAATTTCTTAAGATGGAGAAAATCAGATCCACCATTAGTGGGCCCACCATTAGAATTTTTAAAGCTTGGCAACTATTTCTGAACTATTTTGAGACTTTGCCTCCCTTCTACACCTAAGACCTTATTCTGTTGCTAATTGGCTACCTGGCAGGATTGGCCTTCCATTTTTACTTGCTTCCTAGAGAGTGTTTAGTGTAATTAGTACTTCACTGTTCTTTTTTGGTATCTTCAGACTCTTGATCCTTTAGTTTTACTCCTTTTTGAGAAGGAAGATTTGGGTGGGACTTGGGAGGGAGATTGGAAACTCTATTTTTCCTTTACGTAAATTATTCTCAGATGAAGCACTGCACCAACAATTTACAAGTTCTTTATATTGTTCTAATATGTAACGTATGCATCGTGTATTTTTGTTGGTTTACACAATAACAATACTTAAAAATGCTACAGCCGGGCATGCTGCCTCTTTCTGTGGGGTAGCAAAGATTATGGATTGAACACTGATAAGAACCTGCAAAGAACGGGAAGCATTAGCTTGCTCCTGAACATACAGCAGAACTAAGGTGGGCCAGAAAGAGCTAAAACAAGCAGTACCAAACACAGGCCACAACCCAATTTGTCAGCATTACAACATCAAATCTAGAACATCTAACAATCTAGGTAACAGAAAAGAGGTGACTAATCAAAAAGGGGTAACTAAAATTGTTCTCAGTTTTACAAGCAATTCCATGCAGTTTCCTCTTGCGTTCTCTGGTTCATGATATACTGTTCATTCAAGACATCTGCTGATGACATTGACTGTCAGGACATTTTGAATACTCGTATCGGATCCCCTCATTGACGTCTTTCTTCAAGACCGAAAACCTTCAGTTCTCTCAGCCTGTTAATGTTGGGTATTCCCTTAAACCCAAGTATGTACAGTAAGATGTATTGTTTATGCCACATGAGCTCTGCTATAATACAGCTATAAGACTGTACACAACCACTTGTAGTCTGCCCATTTCAGCATCTTTATCATAACAGAACACCATAAAGTTAGAAGGGACCAGTCTGAGTATCCTCCTGGCATTGGGAAAGAAAAATCTACAGACAGTAAGAAAATGAAAATTGTGAGCAGTCACTAAACATAGATGATATAGGTTAACTGTACTCTCCTGGCAACTGCTTGACCTGAATGGGCATAATCTCAAACCTTCCACATCTCCCAGTTCATTTAGATTTGGATATTTCACAGTAAAACTACATCTTTCAGAAATTTTACGATTTTAAATTTTACAATCGCTTCATATGGTAGTATTCGTGCAAGCCCTTTTTTTAAGACTGTTTATTTAAATGCTTTTCACAATTATTACTGGTCCTCCCAAATGGGGAAAAAAACAACAACTTTTGGTTGCACTTTTGCTTTGGCCAGTAAATGACATGTGGCCGTTAAAAGACACACAACTCCGTGGAATGCTGTCAACATGGGGAATAGGTATATGAAATGAAAAAAAATCCACAATGTAATGCAAAGGACTAACGTTTAAATTTTAAAATTACACTAATGCCCACATAAATAAGATTCCAGTAGAAAAGGATTCCTGACCTCACTGATATTTCGGTTGTGCTTTTCTGAGCTAGCCTGTTACATTCCTATTGCCTTACTCACAATTTTCATCTGCGAGGAATCTACAAAAATTCTACCTGGTGCGCAGCACAGAAGGCAGCCCAGTACCAGTCACTGAAGCTACATTTGCGTGTTATCTGTTTAAACGCACAGCTTCCATTTGTGCTGGTCTGTTATCACCCAGTGAACAGACAGCAGGTTAGATGTAATACTGCTTCCAGTAGGAATTAATGAGCCACTAATACATATACATACACAACCGCTGACATGATATTTCAGTATTCTGACTTTATATTAAGGAAGTGAGTGAAATACAGGTTCTGTCAGACTTGTGCCACTCATGTTGATGTATTACTCAGCAGCCTGGTAATCCCTTACAGTTTTTGCACAGAGCCACTACAGAATATTTGTTCAGACCGGACAGTCTTTAAATTGCCAAAGAATTATTCTCTTGGTGCAGCACTAAACCAATAAAAAATGTGCCAACCAAGAGAAATAAGGATGAAGATACAGTGTGCTTGTCAAATTGCTGTTCCCTACTGGCTGTATGTAGTCAATGGCCAGATGTAAACAAACAATCAGCTCTTTGACAGAGTTCCTGTTGAATGAGCAGCTAAATCAACAGCTAAAATTTAGTTAAATCTGGTTATTTGCGATATTAAAAAGACTAATGTTGACCAAAGCAAATTTAAAACAAAAATTAGCAAGAAATGTTTTGTTTGGAAGATGTCTGCGATTAAAATGTCCAGCAGTAGGTTTACCTACCCTTTGTCACAATGTCATACTGCTGGATATCTTCTTAAATGTTTTTGCTTCAAGTTCTTTGCCTTCAGGGTTAAGCTAAAAGTTGCGGATGTGACACAAGGGAAAGGAAATCTGTAAATGTAGGATTCTCCATAATTTTTAAAACTACTTAAAGGATTTACATGTGCTTTAATGTAGGGTTACTGCAAGCTGGGATTAAAAGCCTTCTGATGTTGGAAGGATAATTTTTTTGTGAAATGGTGGGAAAAAAAAACATGGATTTATCTGCATCGCACATCCATTTTCTCAGATTTAGCTCAGGAAAACGGGTAAACATTAAGCACTGGCTTTATTCAAAAATCTAAGTGGCCCTTTCGATTCTCCAGCAGGGAGTAAAGGTAGCTCAACACAGATTCAAGATCTGCTACAACAGAGCACCTTGTTTCAAGTCCCATCTTCCTCCATGTGTCTGCTGGGTTAGGTCCTCTAAGCCTACAATGGATACTACAAATGAAAGGGTGGAAGATAAAAGAAAAATAATTGAAATTTTGTCTTGGGTATATTGACTGATTTTGTTTTCTATTATTATTCCCCGACTTCATTCCTGCTCAGGATAATTCTCAGGGGTTTGATAAAAGGGATCTGCTTTGGTAGGGAGTGGATATACTGCAGGTGAATACTGTAAAGGTGGCGAAGCAGTCCAGCCTTGTGTGTTGCAGTAAGAGGTAATGAGAATTCTGTCTGCTAGCTGAGCAATCCTGAATATCACACAGTGAAAACCGCTTTGATGTGCTACAGTAGATAGAGTTTGGAAAAAAAAAAGCTTTAAAGTTTAATGAAGCCTATTTGCCTCAGTAAACAGTTCATTAAATTCTGCACTCTTGCTTTGTGCATGACTGTGCCTGTTACTGTGACCCAGCGGTAGCTGTCTGTTTTAGAGGAAGGGAAGGAAAAATATTTTTTTCCCATTCCACCTATAAGCCTTAAGCATGTTTTTTTTTTTTGCTTTTACAGTCTTGGGCAGGATCAGGAAAGAAACCTAAAAATAAAAACCTCGGTACCGTACTTCACATGCATGTTGTCTGAAATGAACACTGCAAGGATATCCATCTGCCTTATGAATAGGGGCAGAGAGTGATTTCCGATTTATCACAACTCCTGAATGTGAACCAGCAGTCAGGATGCGAGATTCAATTAACTTTCTAATCTGGGCGTGCCCACACGGTTTTCTAATATGTAGGCCTACAGTTTGTGAAAGTTCCAAAAATAATACTTTCTAACAAAACAGACTCCATCTAAACTGTCTTCCTCCTGGGTAGGTCTCAAGCAAAAAGAGCATCTATCCAAGACCAGATTAGAGGGGAAACCAAGCTTTTACATCAGTATCACAGCACATTCAGCCGTCTTTATTAAACCTGCTTTTGATGAAAAATAACCAGTTCTCCGATGTGAAGAAACCTTTCATTTTTCTGTCTGTGCATCCCGTACCTCACTTTACATAGTTTCAATAGGAATTAACTAAATTAAGGGGAACAAATCTAATGCTTGAACATACTGAATAATAGCACAATGAGTGAGTCAGAATGAATAAATTAAGGTCTGCAGTCAACCACATTCATATACTGTAAGTTTCAGCTGGTGATTCCACAGTTCACAGGAGTAGATGACTCTTTGAAGATCATGTACAGGCTAATGGCATCACAAAGGGCACTGCTCAGACAACAAGTCAGAAACCTGCAGTAGTTCAGCTCAATATCCTGTACTGACATCATACCGTACAAAGTCTCATTAAAACAATTTTAATGCATTAGGGAGCACATTTTTTCTGAACACATTACTGCTACTTTGCATTTATGGGCAATACTACACTTATTAAATCACAGTCACACTCAAGTGTTTAAATTGATAGCGAAGTCTCAGTGACATGTCTCGCACAAGAAAGGGGATTACCTGGCCTAGTCCACATAAGGAACGAATAAGACACGCTGAGACCGATTTTCCACTTCTTTTCTACGACCAAGCCATCAGCTTGAGCCCCCCACCCCCACTCCAAAGCACTTTGCTTTTGTACTCATGCAATGTTATTTCCATCCATGCATGCATTTTCTAACCGCGTTATACCAAACAAGGTCACATGGGAAACCACGGCC